CCACCAACTCACTGATGAACGAGCCAGTGAAGGAATTAGCAAAAGAATTAGCAAAGGAGTTAAGGAGAAAAAGAGTTCACACAAGAGCTAGCAAAGGAGTTACGGCCCCTGGAGCCCACTCCCTGCTTATGTACTGAGTATGACGTGCTATGGCATGCAATACCCCTTTGGTCAGTTTGGGTGACCCATCTGAACTGGGTGTACCCCCACACTGCCTGTAGTGAGAAAGCTGGGAACGCAGCTGCGGTATCAGAAGCTGAGAAAGACCTTGAATTTGGTGCAAGCGCTGCCCAGCACCAGCTAAAAAGACACCTCATCAGTACTTTTCTCAGGGTAAATCCAGACACACAGCTTCATACCAGCCGCTGTGAAGAAAATTAACTCCTGACTAAGACCAGCACATCTGGCCAGAGCATACTTGAAGTTAAGTTCCAGAGGAAAGCTGAATCCAAACCCATCATCCCTACCAAACCAGGACCTGCACGCTTTGCTTGGCATGTCCCAGAACAGACGTGTCACCCACTGTTTGGGATAAACTCTCTTAATTTCTGCAATTCTTGGGAATGCCAGAAAGAGAGAACCAGAGAGCCCTTAGGTGTGTAAGTAGCAGCAAGAAGTCATTGAACAAACTGGTTTTGCGTGTCGATAGTAAGACTTTATTTCAGGTATTCTCTTCAGAAATTTAAGACATCCTGTGTTGTCCCGTGTACCCCCTAATTCAGTAAACTATTGCATTTGCTGGTATGCTCATGTAGATTTACCTTGGAAGTGTTTGCAGCAGGCTAAAACCAGTCCTGTAGCTGAGGACAGAGACAGCAAAAAGCTTTTCACTATTTTCATTAATTTCACTTTGCCACTATCAGCAAACACGAAGACAGTGAAGTAGAGTTTCTGTGGGTTTAGGTTGCTGCTTAGTGGAAAATTTTCATCAGTTTTGGTACATCTGTTTCTTGTAGTGGTGGTTTCCTCTGGCTGCCAGGCTGCAGGAATTTCTTTATTGTGGGCACATTGCTTATTCTTGCTTTGAAACTCTACAAAACAAAACCAAAACAGCGCTGTGCTTAAGAACTATGGTAACTGTCAGACATTTAGGAGTTACCAGTGCTCCAGGTAACATTATGGTTTGATCCTGCAGGAGAATCTATATACTTCAGCCTATTACGCTTTTGCAGCTATAGTGACAGAAGAGGGCAATAACCATCAGTATCTGAGGCTGGCTAAAAGTACTTGGGATATTTGATTTTGATACTGCCTTCCACTTCTTTCCTCACCCTCCCACTCTACCGTATCTCTCAGCCAGTTTGAATCAGTGTTCCTGCTTTGATTCATTGTCCATTAAAACCGGACATTCAATTACCTGCAAGAGAGGAAATTTGGCAAGTATATCAGGCTTGTACTCTTCTGCCATTAAAAGGGTTTCAAGTAATTGCACATCTGCCCTGCTGAACCGGTTGCCAACAAGAAAGTCTTGTCCATGGTCTTTCAAAACCTAAAAACAGAGAACCAGAAGCAGATGTGATTTTTTTTCTCTCTCTCTCTCTGTGACTTAATAGGATATCTGCAAAACAAGGTCATGCACTGGATGGAACTGTGCTTGCAAGAAGGAAATGCAGTAAGAAATGAGATACAACCATCCCTGCAAATGCCTGTACAAAATTTGCAAGCGGCTTAATTTCAGCCTAGGCATAGTAAGACTCTAAAATTACGGGCAGCTCCCTTACTTCTCACCTGTTTCCTCCTCAGTTTTGGGAATATTGCATTGAGAGCTCTCCACACGTAACCTGTGCCTCGTGGTCCTGACACCCAGCTAATCCATGCTGCCTTTTGTTACAGAAGAAGCTGCCTGTATGGTACAGGGGATTCTGCACTTGGGAGGAAACTCAAAAGCTGATGTTACAGCAGCTTTTGTCTGAAACAACATACCAACTGGAATGTGGATGTTTGGGGAGCTCAGTGTGCCCTGGGATTTTTCAGCTCTGCATTTCTCCCAGATTTGTAGCGCCTTCTGTCCCCTCCATAAAGTCCTGCCTCCATCCTCATCCCAGCCCCACCAAAACGATGGCATTTAAGTGATATATTTTCTTCTCTGTTTTCCTCACTAAAAATTGTGTAGACCCAGGATGGAATTTCAGGAAAACAGTATTATTTAAGCTACTACATCTTTGCCACATACCTTCTCAAAGACTGGGAAGTATCTGTTGGTGGCCTTGTCCACAATACTAGCAAAGTGTTGCTCCTTTTTATCAGCTGGTTGGAAAGGATGGGTCATGAGTAACTCATTCAGATCTATTACTCCTTCCACGTACATATCAATCCTGAAAGGAAAAGATCCAGTGGGTCAAGTCCAACACAGTAGGTCTGAATAGTGTCATAGCTACTGGCGTAACCCCACTGAGATGCTGGGGACTCTCTGCCTCTTCTATCCAGCATTCATAGGTTGGAGCAGTTCCCCTTGGAGTGCAGTAGCTTCTGGGGGGGGTCCGAGGGAGGATGGGTGAAAGACAAGTGCAAGGTGCCTAACCACAGACTAAAAGACCATATACCCCTACCCTTTTTCACTAAGGGTGATTCTTCTCCGAATTAAGTTTTTTGAACCTGAGTACAAAATTGCCATATGTGTCATCCAAACTTGTGTTAAAATTCCAGTCAGACATGGTAGGTTAAACAGTGGGTCTATATCATTCCTAACAAATACCATGAAATGTATTTATCTGTGCCAATTAACTTGAAGCATTTTAAAATACTTCAGATCAAATCATATGCCCTAAGAGCCCTGTCCTTTACAAAGCAATTCCTGGTTATTAAAGAGAGTTGTTGTTTGTTTCCATCAAAGACATTTCCCTGAATTTGAAGTGGTGGAAGTGCCTGCTGCTGACAACTGCAGGAGAAAACAAAAAGCAGCACCAGTAAGACAAACTGCCCTCTGCGCTCCTGACTTCTGTCTTCTGATAACTGTATTGACCTTTGATACTCATGAACTCCCTTGCACCATCCTGCCTATCTAGGCTAGCTGGTTACTGCTGTTGTAGGCATCCCCCATGGTCACAGTCAACACGTGCTACATGAAATCTGCTGTATCACCCTGAATCTGTGAGCTGGGATACTCTCGTGTTACGCAAGAGGGGCAGCATGAACTGTAGTCTAACAAGCAAAGGTAGTACTGTTAGAGTACAGGGCTCTCTCCTTCAGGTCCTTCCCGTAGAGGTTGTACTTCGTGGCTATGTAGTTGCCAATGGCTCTGGTCTGCACCATCTTCATCCCATCGATCTCCACCATGGGCACTTGCTGGAAGAGCAGGGATCCATCTTGGGGAAAGGGGACAAGAAAAGGAGACATTCAGTCTCTGAGTGAGAACCGTGAGTGAGTGTTTGACAAAGTAACCAGACATATTATCTCCGAGTTGTGGCATCTTCCTCGCTTTCATAGCATGGTGTAGAAAAAGCTTAACATGAAGCCAAGAACCGTTTCTTAGTGACATGTTAATAACGTAAAACCATAGAAATCAATAGCAAAAAATAGAAGTCTGGTTCTTGAAGTTTCTTCAGATCTGAAAAATCACCCAAATGTAGAACTTTTAGCAGTCAGACACTGCAGAAGACAAGTCCTGTGCTGCGTGGCCCTAACTCAGGTGATTTTCACGGCAGTTAATACAGATGAGGACCGAATGATCCAACCCATAATGAGTCAGTTGCTGTCATGCTTTGGTAAGTATTACAGAAATCTGGACTGTGGTGAGGGCTTGTCAACATACAGTGAGAATATACACGCATATAATCTTTGTGACTACTCTGTTGACGTTATACGATGACATACGTCTGTACGGGCACGAAGCAGGGAATAATGGGTGGGTTTCATGAGATTCCTGCAAGAGCCAAATAGCACTTGGTGTGAGACTGTAGCCATGTAAATCCCTTATTGGTCTGCAGAAGCCTTATTCTAGCAAAGAAGTAGTCAAAATACGTCCAGGAACTGATCAGAGAAGCAAGTCAGAGTATTTGTTTTATGGAATCATATTTTTTATAGAATCATAGAATGGTTTGGGTTGGAAGGGACCTTAAAGCCCATCTAGTTCCAACCCCCCTGCCATGGGCAGGGACACCTTCCACTAGACCAGGTTGCTCAAAGCCTCATTCAGGCTGGCCTTGAAGACAGCCAGGGATGGCAGGGATTTTGACTCAAATAACTCATCAGCCACATCCGTCTTTGTATCCACTGTAAGGCAAGCAGGCAGAGAAACTGTCTGCTCTTAAGGGCACATCTTAATTTAGGCATGTGTCTTGACATACTTTTTGAAAGCCAGCAGGTGGCAGGGGGATCCAGTCCTGCCTCCTAAAGGAAAGCAGGATTACAAAACCCTAGCTCAGACTTCTTTGAAAAGCCAAGTGAGCTGGAAGAGCACAGACATGTAATTCAGTTTGGAGGAAATGTGAATATTGTGTTCACAAAGACAGAAGCTGAAGACAGCAAGGTGAGTAGCTGACTTGGGAAACAGGAATGCATCAGAGGTACAGGTGAAACTCAGAAATCTGGAACCCTGGTTTCATACGGATTATAAAGCAACAGCTTTGTAGGCAACTGAAAATGCTAATGAATTTCAAAGGTGATCATAGAATCACAGAGCGTTTTGGGTTGGAAGGGACCTTAAAGCCCATCTAGTTCCAACCCCCCTGCCATGGGCAGGGACCCCTTCCACTAGACCAGGTTGCTCACAGCCTCATCCAGCCTGGCCTTGAACACTTCCAGGGATGGGGCATCCACAGCTTCTCTGGGCAACCTGTTACAGTGCCTCACCACCCTCTCCGTGAAGAACTTCTGATCAGATGACAAAACCCTGTGTTGTCGTAGGACAGGAGGTGATGGGCACACAGGAGAGTCAATCATCTGAACTGAAGGAAATCTGAACTTAAGGAAAGGCTTTTTTTACTGTGAGGGTGACTGAACACTGGCATGGGTTGCCCAGAGAGGCTGTCTCCATCCCTGGAGATACCCAAAACCCAACTGGACACCAACATAGGCAACTGGCTCTAGCGCAACTGCTTGAGGAGCAGAGTTGGAACAGATGATCAAGAGAGGTCCCTTCTGAGCTCAACCCTTCTGTGATCCTGTGAAGACTGAAGCAACGGTGTGGATGACACCATCTAACACACTGCAAGTGTGCATCTGTGATACCTCATATAAAATCCAGTCTAGATTTCCTTTTTAAGAGATGTAAGAATTCTTAGGTGTTCTAAGACAAACAATTATTATTACTGTTATTATCAAGTTATTAAGAAGTGAAGGAAACATACCCTTCTGTAACTTTATCAGATCATCCTTTGTTTCCAGAAAACATTCTTCAAACTGCAGGAAACAGAGAAGAAATGTTGCGTTGTCCCTGCATGTTTTACCTCCTGCTTTGCATGAGACAATGAGAGCCCAAAGAGCTGTGTTTTGGGGAATTTTATTATTTAAAGAATAGAGCAGATTTGAAAGTTATATCTTAAATTATTTTGCCTCTGTCAGATCCTCTCCTTTTCCCTCTCACATGCCGTTCATATTTCTGCACAGGTAAGATTTTGGCTAAAGCTGAGGTGACCAGAAGGTACAAACACCTGTCTGCGGAGCAAATGATGACCATGCAGCTTCTGTTGTCAGTGCTGGCAAGAGATGTTGAAGGGAGAGGGGAGGATAGGTAAATTCACGCTGCAGCAGCAGAGCTGTGTTACAGCTCCCTTGCCACAAGCGGGCAAAAGGAGGGACAGAGAAGAGATTGTGTTTCCCCCTGTGCAGCTTTCTGGCACATTGCCTGTCACCATGACAAAATCTCACTGCTCTTAAAGCACACAGATCCCCACACTCCCTCTCCAGTTTAATATCAGAAACCAGCAGAGGTAAAGCCAATTACGCTGTGTTTTCTAATATACGGTACCTTCAGGGGTAAGATACATTTTAGTAGGCATAATGATTTTTTGCATTTTTGGACACCGGGTCTTCAGAATTGAAAGTGCTCAACCCCCCTGATCAGAAGATAAGGAGCAAAGTTCTGCTGCTGTGGATTAAAATGTCTTTCCTTTCACTAGCTACAGGGGCAAAACATTTATGGTGCTACCCGTAGGCTTGGCACATGACGCTGGGAAGTGAAACAGGAACTTGCCCCCTGCTTGGGGTAAGCTAGCAGTCATCGTTGGCTTGGTCAGCACTGCCCTAAGTGCAGAGTCAGTCACATTTTTTGTAAGGAACAGTAAAAATACATATTTGTCACATGCTTTTAGTATAAAAACCAGAGGCAAACCTCAACCCCGGCTGCTGCTAGTAGCCACCGTATTGTTTCCATTCGGCCTCGTCCATTGAAGTAGTGCAGCTTGGGTTTCGCAGACATGTTTCTACGTGCCTGGTTTCCTACAATCTGGAGTAAAGAAATAAGTTTTGCAAAATAAAGATTCAGAAGGCTGGTTTTGAGTCTCTAACTGGTTCCCAACCATTGTTCAAAGTTGTCTTCTTTCAAACCCATGATTTATGGCCCAAGACTCATCAAATTAGTAGAGGAGGTAAAAGACTCTATTGAGAGACCATATTTTGCCTTAATGTCTTGTACACGAGCAGTTCAGTTACGCAGAACTCTGTACTGAGGGCGATTGGCCCTTGTCAGAGAGCAAGCAAATCAAAACCCACTTGCATCCCAAAGCATTCTGCTCTGACCAAAAAGCAGGGTGTGCAAGATACACTGTGCTGTTTACTTTGGCATTATCACAAGGTACAGTTTACTGTTTAATCAGATGCACAATATTAACTGTATAAAATTGCTGTGCTTTCTCCAGCAGCCATTATGCTCTGTTATAAAGTGACAGGAAGGATTTGCTCCCCCCCCCCCCCCATGGACATACAGGAAGGATTTGCCCCCCCCCCCCCATTGTAAGCATTCGATCTACAACACTCCCCGCTCCTCTTATTTCTTTAGGCAAACACCTGAAGACATGGAATTTCATTTCGTCTCTGATAACATTAGATTTACCTTTACCACAGACAGAGCCAAAGTGCAATACCTGCTCAGTTCAATTCCAACCTTTTGCTGGAATTTAAAGCAACAGCACTTCCTAAACAGACTGGCATGCCCCCCAACCAGAACCAGTATGTGCACAGCAGCAGCAAACATGCAAATAGTGCCTAGTTTGTACTAACTTCACTACGTTATTAACACCATGTCAACAACAAAGCTGAACTATTAAGAGCAGCAAAAGCAAATGGCTAAAAACCCCCTATATTCTCCTTGCAAATAACATGTCATCTTCTCTACGATAGGTAGAGGGGGGTAAGAGGAAGCACTCCACACTTCTGAGATCTAAATTTCTGTTTCTTAAATCTGTACACCTAGAAAGCAGTTGATTAATAATTTAACATTTGATGCACATAACCCTGTCAGTAAAGAAAGTTGTTAATCCATAAACCCCATTCACTGACTCAGTTTCAAGTACACTAATTCCCTGTGCCTGTCCAAAATCCAAAGAGCTTACCTTGTACACAGTCCAACTCACTCTAAGCTCTCAGTAGTTTTGCCTTGAGATTATATAAGTCTGTAACCCCTCCTACAAGGAGAATTGCAAACACTTTTCTGCCAATGGAAAACTCCTATTTCTTAAACAAATAAAACCAATTAGGTCTGTGTAGTCGCTTCTCACCAACAGAAAATAAATTCCTGACTAATGATGACTGGGTACAAATGTAAGATGCATGAAAGGTCACGATCATTGGGAACATTTGTGCCAGTAGAAAATTCCATGCTTCCTATTTTCATTGTTTGGCAACCTGCTAGTTAAAAATAATCAGAAAGGCTGAAAAGCCACCACAGGTAAAAAACATACAGTGACAGCAATCAAAATCTTATTTTAATATTTCATGGGTTTTTTACTTTTAACAGATTGCTGCTTTACATAAGTCACGTCAAATAATTCAGCTTGAATCCTTCATAAGATTCCTTTCCCTTCCTTAGGGATGGGGGATATTCAGGACATTTCTTCTGCTGAATTTTATTCCTGGACATAAAAGGTTGGGGTTTTTTTCTGTTTCTGTCAAAATTGATTCCCTGAATGTCCCTTGGTGAAAATTCACGCCAAAGACAGCTGTAGGAGACAGTGAATGAAGAGCAGCATCAGTAACACAAACTGCTCTCTGCACTCCTGGCTGCTGTCTTCTGATAACTCCGTTGACTTTAAAGAGTCAACACAGCATAAAACCCCGTGCACCATCCCGCTTGTCTAATCTAGCTGGTTAATACTGTTGACATCACCTGCAGGCAAATCAATGCGTTATATAAAAATCTGTTAAATCACGCTGAATGTAACTGTGAGCTGGGATATTCTTCTCATATTACACAGAGGGGTTGTAGGAACTGTAGTCTATCAAACAAAAAAACTGAGTTGTTGTAGTACAGAGGTCACTGTCCTCCAGGTCCTTTCTGGAGACATTGTACTTTGCTGCTATGTAGCTGAGAATGATCCTCATCCCATCAGTCTCCACTGCTGGTACCTGATAGATCAATGTGTTCCATGCTTGACAATAAAATAAGTGTAAATATTTATTTAGAGCTAGAACCACAGAAGGACGAGGCAGCAAAACGGTCACCACTGCAACGTCTTGTCTTTTAGGAGGTGCCTAGTACCGGAATGGGTCACTCTGTGCCCTGTATGGCATGTGAGGAGAAACAGGCTTTAAAGCAGAGGACTGCTCACCGACAACACACCCTATAGCCCCCGCCTTCTGGTCTGGGCTCTGTTCTTCTCTCTGTCCCTTTCTTACCTTTTGGGAGGTTCTTCCCTCCAGCCTCTCTGCATGAGAACGTTTTATTGGCTTCCTTGAGAAGTGACTGCTTTCCCCTCTGGGCTTCTGGGACATTTGTGCTGACATTTGCTGCTAGCACAAGGTTTTTTAAGAGTAAAAGATTAAGCTACACTGCTGCAAAGAATGTTGCCAGCACTGCTGGACAGACAGACATGACCCAGAATCTGGGAAAATGTGGGAGATTGAAGCTTTCCCTGCATACACACATGTGCATCTAGTAAAGTTTCACAAATCCAAACTCACTCTTCGGTAGCTTGGCTAGATCAATCATTGGTAAGCCTGGCCATGATACACTCTAGGCGATGTCCAAGGCCTAGTAATTACTCCTACAAGGTCTTGACATCCACTGTGTCAGAGGACTGCAGGGTAAGACAACATGAGTTCAAGCATGGGAGTTAATCACAGTGTAGACAACTTGGGAAAACTCATCTCACCTAGCTTTGTAGACACCTACATCTAGACCAGCTCTCTGGAATAAGTCTAAATTCAAGTAGGAGGAACCCCGCACCATTCACTTGGGCTACAGCTGATATCCAAACCAAAGCCAGCACTATGCACTTGAAAGGTGGATGGATGCTGTCTCAGTTGAGCCAGTTACAAGTTTAGGTGAAGCCAGTCCCTTCAACTTTCCCTCATGGGTAAGGGAGAGGGGTGGGATTTATCCCAGTACTGACATTTCTTACCCTATCAGAGGTCCCTGCACTGGATTCAGCCAGGAAAGA